GCAAGGTAAGAACTACATACATTAACCTCTCTGCCCTTCTTAGGCTTGTGGTTATACAAGGGTATGTCATCATGCGGCCCTAACACTGTTCAATATTAACACGAATCAGATGGACATATATAACACTAGGGTACACGGAGAGCAGACAGACGTATATGGGTGGGGGTTCGGTTTTTTGATAGCTAACCAAACGTGTCCAGTGGGATGCAGTTTTCTGAAATAGATTTTTATGTCTTTGTCACTATTTAGTACCCACACCGCCACAACTACTTCAGGTTGTAAGCAATGTAAAAGAGCTAAAATAAGGCAGCACTTTATTTTTATTAAATTGTTACTAAGTATTGATATCAGTTAATATTAGCTATCTAGTTGATCAAGCAATATATTTGTCTATATAGTCTGTGTTCTGCCAGTCATCAACAAGGGCGTCAGATCGGTTGCTGAGCAGTAAAACTACCCAAATCAAAGGAAGTAAAGACATTTTCAGCTTCCCACATAATAACCCAACAGCTTTAGAGTAAGTTCCTTTCTTGTTCTAAACGCTCTACTTAAGTAAACTCAAATGAAAGTAATCCTTTATTTAGCAATCACACACTCTTACGCACCACGTTTACATGTCATTTTTTTGTTCCTTAATTGCAGTTCTCCTGTCATTTGCTAAAAAGGGTAAAATATGAAAGAATATGAAATACCTGCTCTTACAAGGCCATTGGCACTGCTATCCCTGCATTTGTGCATATCTTGGACTTCTGCCCGCCCAGACATTATGCCCATTTGCAAATTAACTCTTTTTCATTCTGGAATAGCTCATCAGTATAGAGATGAGCATCACAGGACAGAAGCTTCCGGGCTAAGTTCTACTGCTCAAATCTAGCAGTCAGGCAAGAGGGAGACAAAAACCCAATGCAAAATATTGTTGCACTTGGCACTGTCATGTTGGTGGCAATAAGAACACATCTTTCATGTTCTAAGACAACTGTTAGCCAAAGTGTATGAGCACTTTGAATGCTGGTGGAGAGGTGATGAAGACATGCATGTTTCACCATACTGTTACACAGACAGACATACATAAACAGCTTTACACAAAGTGAAGATATGATGCGCTAGAATGCACTCAGCAGCATAGATTAACATTTCAAGACAGGTATCTGCAGGGCACCACTACTGTGGTACACAGCTTCCTATTTCTAATGGGTTGATGAGGACTGGCAACATTTGTGGGAAGACAGTAACAGACAATAAAATAGAAGAATGGAAGAAACTCACCTTAAGGAGTTCATAATGTTGAATACCATTCACGCCAATGTCTGGATCGATGGCAGATGGGACAGAATAGCGAGAATTAATTGCTGTGTTTTCAGGGATAGAGATGTTAATAACTGTTGAGGGGAAGAGGGGGGCATTGTCATTTATATCCTCTATTAGGAATCTGATCTTGACCAGTCTGAAAACTTCATCAGGCAAAACAGCAACCTCCACCTCATAAAAGCAGCGATTCTCACTAAAGATGCCAGAGCACAGCTTCTCTCTGTCTATGCGGTTTGCAGTTGTGAATATCTCACCAGTGTTCTCCTCCACCCGTACTAAAGGTACATCCCCAGTCTTATACACAAGCTTGAACTGTAGTGGTGAGGAAAGGGGCACATCTGGGTCCAGCGTTAGGTTAAGATCCTTGAGCAAATTGCCAATGAGGACATTTTCAGGCAGTTCTTCCCGCACGGTATAATTCTTCTCCTGGGCGCCAGATTGAAATACAATACAGGCTAATAAGACTGCCAAGAGGTAGGTTCCAGACAGCAAGTCCATCTCCAGAATGACTAATGAGTATTCGTGTAGAACGCCAAGAGTAGCTGGAGAAAGGAAAAGAAAGAAAGAAAAATTCTTAAAAACGTACAGAATATTGTGTTCTTAAAACAATGGAGACATGAAAGGAGTACCTTTCCGATAGCAAATAACCTGAACGGTTTGAAAACCCTATTTGTAAGTAAAGTAATATTTGACTCAACAATTCTTCACTGTATAAAATTTCTTGCATGAATTTTTACTTAAAACTGTTTACTAAACACTGAGGTAAGAATCTTAGAACTGGATCAGAGTAAATGAAGAAATAAATACCAAAATCCCTATTTCCAGCATGAGATTTCCCTTTGCTCCTTAAGAAAACCTCTTCCTTTGAACACGCTGACACATTGTCCTCAATTTTTTTGTTTCCAAAGAAAAAAGTAGGTAAGAAGTTTGCAAGCAACCATCTGCTGAGAACCAGATCTTTTTATACCTCTTGCTTAGAGACAGGAAACCAAGAACACTTGTCTTAATTTTCCACGCAGTTTTGCACTGACAAAATTATGTAATATTTGTTAACATCAAAGAAATCTGGCTATTTTTAATACAGGAACTTAAATTGGCAAGAAAATGTTATCTAGATGGAGTCTGGTGAACTTCAGCCAACAACGGGTGGAAATCTAACACAGGGATACTAGTATAGTGAGAACTTGCAGAGAAAAAACACTCTGTTGAACTCCATATACAGGATATGCTGCTTTGCCTAATCTTTGTATAACTCTGCCCTTTCAGAATTTAGGATAATCTAAGATAGCATTTCTGTAAGGCAGATGTTCAAGAGCCCCATTTAAAATGATTTCTTTAATTAATGAAGTTTTAGGTTCTACAGGTTTAGCATGTTTCAAATATACCTGTACTAACTCATCTACATTCTTTTCATTGTGCAGGTAAAAATGTAATTTTTTTCCTGCCTTTTCTGATTTTCTTCTCCCTGCCATTGCATAGATTGATTTACTCCTGCAGATCAAGTTGCAGTGGTTGAAGAAATTACTGAAGCCAGTAATTGTCTTCACCCGTTAGTTACTGCCTTTCAGCAGTACCACTTTCAGGGTAATTTAAATTAAAGCATTTGACTTTGCAGTGAAACAGATTAGGAACATTTAATACTGCTATTCCATTTCAACTCTGCAACCTTATTTTGATTGGGAGTAAGTAACAGATAAAGAACATCCCAACTAGATCTGCAAGGTGTATCTTTCCACGTCAGTATGATTTAAGTGTAAAGCATTTTCCGGCTCTATGATTATACAAAAGGAGCAACATGAAATAAAAATCCAATCCTGCAAGTCTTCACTTATGAAAAAAGGCATTGCTCACTGGAGTAATTCAATTAACCCGAAGGAGATTGCTGACATGGGTAAGAACTGGATATGCAGTTTCTGTGGCATAGTTACCACATTACCTGCGCTATGTTAGTAATTCACCAACTTATTTGCAGTACTTTAGTAATTCCATATAGGGCACAATACAACTCTAAACAGGCATTCAGGAGTGATGAAACAGTGTACTATAAACAGCAATTTTATAAATACATTGTAAAATTAAACTCTAAATATGTAAATAAGGAAGTCATCAGTAGATACTGATTATTATGAATGGAAACACTATGGTAGCAGCATGAGTTTAATGGAAGAACTGTGATGATAGCGTACAACTATATTAGTTTGACTATTATGATTTTCTTTATTCATTGTCTTATATTTCTGTAAATATATGTCCAGCAATTGTCACCCCACTAAAGTAACTGCCCATGTACATTCGACCTGCAGAAAGCTCTTACTTCATGAAAGCACATTTTTGTATCCAGTATTATTAAAATAAATACATTTACATTGTTTCCATGCAAAACACAAATAAAAACATATGGGTTACAATGAAGAGCTGGTATTTACATGTTCCGCCCAAAACAAAATTTTAGAATGGTAGCATGTTCCACACGTAATGGAAAGCACTATTCTGCCATTTTTTCTTCTCTACTAGAAGTTAAACTGAATAACAACAAAACAGGGGAAAAAAAACCCTTCACATCTTGATGTTTACAGAGTAGCATTTTAAACATTTCTGAGGGGAGGAAATAATACAAAAAAAAAAAAAAAAAAACCACCATAAATATAAACCAAATTCAAGTGCCTATCCCAAATTCTTCTGTGACAAAACTGATGTAAGGAGTGCCTAGAAATTATAATGATATAAAAATATTGTGTAGACAGGTATATAAATCTTCCAAATAAATAATCTTATGCTATTAAAAAAAATCTTTTGATTATTAACAAGGTTATTAATACTACACTGCTCCACTTCTTCTCTCTCTCTGCTTTTGAAGATACACAGAATTTTTAGTCACACCCAAAACAAAAGTTTGTGTTTTATCTATCAAGTTTGACAAAGCAATTTGAGGATGAGTACACAAATCGAAGTCTAAAGAGTTCATGAAAAACTTTCCCAAATAAATTCTGAAAGTTATGATAGTACCAGTAGATTACTTATATTAAAAATAACTTATGAGAATTCCTATAACCCCAGTTGTAACTACAGTGGGGTTTCTAGGGATTATGAAATAACAACAGCAGGACTCAAAGAGGTTTGTCAGGAAAACTGCAGGGTGGAACTTCTTAGCATTACATTACTATGCATACTTTTATTTACTTTTTTAAAATGAAACAAAGATTGAACCATTCTATTAAAAATGTTTTGTGTCATATTAAATAAAATACATTAAAACATGGAAATAATAGAAAACCACTATTATAAACCTGTTAGATACATGCTAACATGACATTTTGTAATGTCTTTTACTGCTGTAGATTTTCCTGAACTACTAAAGGGTATAGACACATAATAGGTAGTGGTATGAGTTTCAAGAGGAAACTGTTTGGTCTCAAAGTAGAAAAGCAACCAACAACGACTTACAGTTCTTGAACTTCTGTAGAACACACTATTTTTAAATGGTCTTTACCCATCTTTCTAAATAATTCTAGGAACAGCTGTGAACCTTTAACTTTTCTAGAGCTGTAGACCTTTAAGGGGAAAAAAACCCAACACGACTCAAGTTTTCTCTTAGACACAGAGTGGAACATCTTATGCCATGGGGAAAGTGCTGTTGTTAAAGAAACCTATTTATATAGTCATAGCTGTATGTTGCCTGTCATTTATGCCATAGCACTGATAGGAATACTATGGCAACAGCAATGCAAAGAGAAAGAGCGTGAGGTACTTTCTAGCCACCAAGCGTCATCCTGACAAGAGATTTACAAAATTAGACTACTTCTAATGACATACAATATTTAATATGTCTCTCATTTATCAACATATCATAAATATCCATACCACAAAATGGGAAAACAATATACATACAAATCCAATAGTGGAAGGAAAGGCTAATGAAACCATAAATGAAAATGGCAGTCAGACAAAACAAGACATTAAGAGAAATTGTCAAAAGAGAGCATGTGAATGGTAACAGATGGTGGAAAAAGTTAGAGATGAACTAAGACAGACAGACAAGATAAAAATACAAAAAGGAAAAAAGAAAGGAACTGGGCAGAAAGGCAGTCGCAGTACAGCATGTGGAAACGGGCTTTCTTGATGACTGGAGTAGAGAGGTAGAAAGTACAGAAGGCTAAATAGAGTAGTCCAGCTACTCCGACTAAAGGACCTTTCATAAGCTCCAGCACTCACTAACACTTTTAAAGTGGTAAAAAAAATTAAGAACAAATAAAATTGTTTAACAGAAGGTAACATTAAGCTTGCCAAGCCATTTTCCCATCTTTCGAAAGAATGCACTGATGTCTGTACTACTGACTTCTGTAACTAATAAGGTAAATGGCCCAGATGGACAAGATAGAGGGTAGGAGGGGAAAAAAAACAAAAAACAAAAAACAATTTGAGATTTGATCTCTTTCATCTGAGAATCTATGTACTTAAATATACACGCTTTTTTGTCTACCATATAAAATATTAATGGCATAATTTAAATATTCTCATAATTCATTATCATCTTCATTTAGCAGCTGTCAAATCATACCTTAAAAAGTAGACAGAATATAGAAACTTTAACTACCTAACACAGTATGATGTGGAGTTAGAATCTAAATCTGTTCTTTATACACAAGGCTCTATATGGTCCCACCTAAGTCAAAATTCCTGTAGCTTATTACAGGACTCCACTGCTATTTCTTACATAAGAGGATCACAGAAAAGTAGTAAATGCAGTAAAGAGTCCAGGTGTCCACTTCAGATGAAAAAGCAACACTATTTCTTGACACCTGGGTTCAGATTTGACTTAGAGCAGCAATAAACAAAACTATGGTAATATTTTGTAACTGCTATATCAAGTTTTAAGAAAAAAATACTATAGACTGTTTTAAAAATTTAGGAATATTACATTGAAGCGCAAAACTACATCAATATCCAAATACTGAAATCATAATAGAAAAGCAATCCTTGAAATATCACTCCCATTCTTATCTTCATATTCCTGAACCTATTTTAATTACATGGACAGATTTAGCTAGTATACCACATTTTTTCAATACAACATCCCTTTCATTTACTGCTGCTAATCCACCATGGACTCCTTAAATAGGAGCATTTAAATCCCTGTGTTAAAACAGTGTTTCTCAGAGCAAAAGATCCCCATGACATGGGCTCTATTTGTCAGTCAATAGCATGATTATAATGTTATTTCACTGAAAGTGAGCTATTTGCAACTACTCCAGTTCACAAAGGCTCCCTCCAAAGTGTCCACTGATAATTAAGCAGTTCTATGCTATATGCCAGAGGATTTGAATTTCTAAATCATGTTGATATGGATTTCAACTTTATCCTGTAGACCTCAGCTGCTGGATAGTTAGGTAGGATCTTTTCTGGTACTGTAGATTTTAGTGTTGGGTGTTTTGGAGGTGGATTTTTTTTTTTCCCTGCAAGTCCCTAACATAGCTGAACACAGCAATGTCTGTCCTTTG